TGCTGGTGTGTTACATCTTGCGAAATGTATCGTCAGGACGTGTCCACATACCTGCCTCTACATGCTGGCTTTCACATGCCATGTAGTTGTAAAACGATGTCCCTGACGTCCACGTTCTGGCGGCGTCGTGGACGGCCTTCGTGAACAAGAACTCCGGGTACTTGTCGATAAAGTCAGATGGTCTGTGGAAAAAAGTAGCATGTGTGAGTAAGTGAGTATGGGTTAAGCCCCTTTTTTCAATATTCCAACAATATCACGGCGGGGGACTACAGACACGGGATTCACACATTGTACCCATGTGTGGAATCGAACACGGGTCTTCGGCGTGGCGAGCGAACGCTCTAACCACTAGGCTACCCTACCGCCTCCGTAGCATGTGAAGCAGATTAATATTTTGGGTGTTCACATTTACCGTTTTATTTCGATACTGTTCCAAAGAAAGTTAACCATTCTGAGATTGAGAAACTTTGTCACCAGGCTATGTGAATTAACGAAAATATATTCCGTTGTTTTATTCCAACATGGATACACAGACCATTTAGAAAGAGGTCACATGTAACATATGCTAAATTTGGAATTACATTTGCTGAGTTACGTACAGATTCTAGTACTTTTGGGGGGGTTAAGTCTCATCCACACCCTCAGAGTCCACATGTCAAAGTCAGACGCCTAGCCCGCTCAGTTGCCGAATGCGTGATGTCATGTTTCCGGGAGCTCCCCAATACATCGTCCTTTCTTCGGGAACAACGTCAAAAGTAAGAGACACTCACAAGACCTGTAAAATACGGTATAAATAAGTTGGATGTATCTTCCCTATCTCAGAACCACACTGTTCCGGTTTCGACACATGCCCAAGCTGCAATTATGGCATGATATCCGTGTTAAACCGTCCGTCACCAAGTCAGATCTGGGTGTTCCTATGGGAGGCGGAAGTGGGTCAGCATATTTTATATGTCCCTTCTCTGTGTCACCACCGGAAGTGTACACCATGGAAAAGGAGAAGACGGTTTTGTATCTTCACTCGTTATTTGGGCTCAAAGAAAAATACGTGACACTCTTCAGTTCACTGGCAACTCCGACTACGCTCATCTTCTTTAAAACCATTCAAAAGTATTGGAAACAGTTGTGTGAAGATATCGAATCCGGGACAATAAACCAAGCCGTTGACCTTGAACCTTGGAAGGTAACATGAACTTTGGAAGATATTCCGTAAAGGAACTTCTCACTTCGGTCCACTTGTGTGGCCGAACCTCGCAGCCCTCCACGCTGTGGGAACTGGTAGCTACTCGTTTGCTGTGAGTATATAATTAAGACACCTGATAATGTACCTCTGGGCATTTGTTGTTTTCTAAATTCAGATCATTCAGGTTCAAATTGAGCTAATCTCCTAACTAAGAAAAGAATGAACATATTTATGGTCTCCCATAAAATTAACGGAATATTGTCAGAAATAGTGTAGACCCCATAACCCTCACCAAAATTGGTAATACCCTCTGTGTGTTCGTGTCTGGAGTAAATACTCAACATTATGGATTAAGTCTGATGTGGCAATGGATTACATGTTATGTAATATGCGCATGGAAGTTCAGCAAGAGGAATTATCAGCTGAGTTAGAAAAACAAACATCGATCAAAGGATTAACCGATGACATGCTGATTGATTAATTGCTTTTATCTTGCACGGTGGATTTGTCAAAAGGTAGTGTTATGCATGTAGATTAACTATTCCATACTGAATACACCCTGTCGTAAAGTGCCCGTGTAAAATCTACGCCCTTCCTTCAAAGGAATAACCGCCAATACATTGATTGCTTGCTCATTATTGGCTAGCTAAATTACTTTTTTAAAGAACGGCGGACATCGTGCAATTAGTTGCCAGGTGTACTATCTTGGATGACTAATGAGACTATACACCAATGTGAAAAACCTAAAACAAAATATTACTTTTTCGCATATTAGACTGTTAAAAGACACATGACATGGAACAGGATACTTTGTCAGCTGCAGATGAATGGCATATCGTTCTTTAATGTGTATATAGATGGATACATTCCTCGAGCAATGTAATAGCCTGACATTGTTGCTATTACTTTAGTCTGTTTTAATTTTGATATTTGCATTTTAATTTTAATTCATTGGTTGTAGCATTCAACAGAATCATTTTTTCGCCGTGAAGTGTGAAGTTTTGGGGCGTCTGTGTGAAATAACATATAATCGACGTTGACAATCTATAAAATGTCTAGATATTGCAGTGATGTTATAAATTCACAATACGTATAAGCAGATCATGTGCATTTTGTTAAGTTTCAAAATGCATACAAATATGATTATAAACTAATTAGGATTATAAGACAAAATATAGAGACGTACATTGGCTTCGTTATTTTTCAGTCTTAACATTTTTTACCACTGGCAGATGGCTAAACTTCAAAATGTTTTCATTTGTTATCAGAATAATGAAGATGGAAATGGTATCGAGTAAAAACGATTTCATCTTTGTTGATCAATCTATATACTTACACGTTTGCGTTTGCGGATGGCGCAACAGAGGTCACGAACCAGTCAAGAACTCTCGGACATCATCCGGGTACTCACGGGAGAAAATCAATAACAAAAGCAACAACCAGTCCACGGAAATTGCTATGGATCATTGCCCCTTTAGGATACCGCTTGACGGTAAGACGGGTACTAGTTTTGGTTGGTGCCAATATTTGCTTTCCATTCTGTCATTAGACCGAGCTTTTGAAGAAGAACTTTCTGGGAGGGGTGCCAGTATTATCTAGCATCCACATCTCGTTTGAGGGTCTGTACGGTCTGAACCTGCACGTGGAGGATCAGACAAAGACGGAGTACACAATCCTGCCGTGTCTGAACTTCTATGAGTTCACACCCGAAGACTGTATAGACAAGGAGGACCTTACGACTCTTCTAGCTCACCAGGTAACCTAGTGGGTGAGATGTGGCTATGTAACATCATGTTTTTGTGTGTTTCTCTGTTTGTTTGTACATTTGCAAGTGAATGATGGACATGTTTGTGTTTATGTATTGCCACAGTAAACAATATTTCAGACCTGTCTGTAAATAATGGACCAGACAATACCCCATGCTCATCTGTACATTTACTCCCTGTGATGCTCATCTGTACATTTACTCTCTGCGATGCTCATCTGTACATTTACTCTCTGTGATACCCCATACCGATCCGTACATTTACTCTCTGTGATACCCCATGCTCATCTGTACATTTACTCTCTGTGATACCCAATGCTCATCTGTACATTTACGCTCTGTGATACCCCATTCTCATCTGTACATTTACTCTCTGTGATACTCAATGCTCATCTGTACATTTACTCTCTGTTATACCCAATGCTCATCTGTACATTTACTCTCTGTGATACTCCATGCTCATCTGTACATTTACTCTCTGTGATACTCCATGCTCATCCATACATTTACACTCTGTGATACTCCATGCTCATCTGTACATTTACTCTCTGTGATACTCCATGCTCATCCGTACATTTACGCTCTGTGATACTCCATGCTCATCTGTACATTTACACTCTGTGATACTCCATGCTCATCTGTACATTTACTGTCTGTGATATCCCATGCTCATCTGTACATTTACTCTCTATGATACCCCACGCTCATCTGTAAACTTACTCTCTGTTACACCCTATGCTCATCTCTACATTTACTCTCTGTTATACCCCATGCTCACCTGTAAACTTACTCTCTGTGATACCCCATGCTCATCTGTACATTTACTCTCTGTGATACCCCATGCTCATCCGTACATTTACACTCTGTGATACTCCATGCTCATCTGTACATTTACACTCTGTGATACTCCATGCTCATCTGTACATTTACTGTCTCTGATATCACAAGCTCATCTGGACATTTACTCTCTGTGATGACCTATGCTCATCCGTAAACTTACTCTCTGTTATACCCCATTCTCGTCTGTACATTTACTCTCTGACATACCCTATGCTCATCTGTAAACTTACTCTCTGTTTTACCCCATGCTCATCTGTACATTTACTCTCTGTGATGACCCATGCTCAGCTGTACATTTACTCTCTGTGAAACCCCATGCTCATCTGTACATTTACTCTCTGTAATATCCCATGCTCACCTGTAAACTTACTCTCTGTTATACCTCTATGTAGTATTCAATGTGATTATGGCCAATGTAATACCCCATGCACATCCATTATAAGTTACCGTGTTGATCCGAACATTTATAGTTTGTTATAGTCGTAACTGTAGTATGGCAAATTCATCTACCCTCTGTAATACACCGTGTTCATCCATATGTTTACAACCTGTAACGAACCATGTTGATCTCAGTTTGTCTATGTTTTACCCTATGTTCATCCGTATATTTACCATTGTTTAACCCCCATAATATCCTAAACTATCCCCCTGCAGGTTGAGGTCGGTGAGGGGTATGAGATTGTGGTGACGACAAGGATGGGCTGTACAGATACAGGACCGGGGGCGTCGTACGCGATCATCTTGATCTATGTCCCCATGGGGGCTGAGATTCGTTTTGCGCACTGAGCCTTGAACATACATAACATGGCTTGTTAAAAACTAGAAAATTGTGTAAACGAAAACCGAAACTTCTGTAAAAACATTAAAATCTGATGGGATCAAATTTTGTAATGAAGTCTGCAAAATGTACATTACATGTATTGTTCCTTTACAATTAAGAAAGGTTTTTCTGTTTTAGAAGCGATTAATTTGGTATTGTGTTCGTCGACCAGAATAGCTTTATTGTCCGAAGCACAATATGATTATGCCGCTTTTAGCAATATTCCAAGGATATCACGAAGGGAGAACATCAGAAATGGGTTTGACACATTGTACCCTTGTTAGGATCGAACCCCAGGCTTCGGCATGTCAATCAAACGCTTTAACCGCTAGGCTAACCCACCGCCCAAGACATAAAAAAGATGAATCTGCTAAACGTGTTGCCATTACTTCTTCAGATCGTTTGACTTTCTCAATAAGTACCCTGAGTTCTTGTTCACGAAGGCCGTTCACGACGCTGCTAGAACGTGGAGGTCAGGAACATCGTTATACAGCTACATGGCATGTATGAACCAACACATCGATGACGTAACAGATACCAAGTTTCATAACAGTTCCATATGGTATATCATCTAAGATGTAATAGCAGTGGTTAAGCATTGACAAGTCCCGTCTTCAGACAGTCAGTATCCAAACGCATGTCCCCCCTTACAGCCGATATAAGGATCCGGTAGAGGGCGTGAGAGTCGATTTAAAGCAACGGAGCATTAATTCATTAGAACTTTGGAGGAGGGGGAAGGGGATGAATTATATGGAAGCACCCGTGAGGGCTGATAGTTATTATTATTGAGAGAATTTTATTATATAATTCATGTTTTTCTTAGAGAAGTGAAGTGTGACATTTTGTCGTCAACTTCGAATCAACGATCACATCACAGCATATAAACGCAGCAAGAATCATTGATGTGTAAAATCTTAAACTGGTTCGATGAATTGTACGTAAATTTGTTGTGTTTTTTTCTTTCTTTTGTTTCGATTGTTGTTCAAGCCGCACGATCCAGCCATATGGCAACAGTAAATATTCCAGTCTGGATCGGACAATCCAGTGATCAACAACATCTGTCTACGTACTTGGGATACGATGACATGTGTATGTAAATATGTACGTGTGTTACATACAGGTGACGTTTCCTGTGAACGGTGCTTCTATATATTTCTGGAGCTTGAATATGACTCTACCTTATCAGACGAAGACAAAGAAAAGGTATGTCCTTGTTTCAATGGGTGAGGGAGATATCACTGATGCATCTTTAAGCAGCTGCAGAACATCCCTGGTGCTCAGAGGTGCGTTCATTGACTCCTTGAATATTAAGCAAGTAATATATATCGAAAATCAGACAACAACATCTACAGAGTAATCTCGCCTGACCACTCGATCCCCTTAGTCGCCTCTTACGACAAGCATGAGTTACTGAAGATCAATTCTAACCCGGATCTTTAATGCATTACATCGGGGACGCTATACAAATAAGTCGGTTTTCTCACAGATTTGTAAGTCTCATGTATAGTCCCTAGCTACAGGCACTGACGCCACCTTACAACAAACAGATGATATATTATATTGAATTTGATGACTGAAAATGATATTACACAAAAGCGTTGTTATTTGAACATGGTACTGACTGCCGTGATATTGACTGCCTTGAGTTTTTCAATCACTGGCAATGATTACAAATATTTATACAACCTGAGAATTACAATATGTCAACATCGTAACACAAGGAGAAGGATCCTTACAATGTTTCAGGTTGACGTTGCATTACAATCCCACTTTGAGTTCTACCACGAAATCCGCTCCACGAGTGTGTTTGTCGACCCCGTACGGATCCAGGTGAAGTCCGGGACGCTTGATGTCATCAAACAGGTCAACTGTGACCTCAACTCAAAGGCTGCAGTACAACAGTACAAGTACCCGAAGTTTACGACGAAACCCGAATTGATACGAATCCTGTTGGCAAACAAGTTGTGAGTGTTAATTGTGGCAAGATTCATTTTCCCAAGAATGGAGAAACAATGGACTCTTTTAGTACTTGGCGTCCTAAGGAACCATAGACTAACTTCCATGAATCTCTTTGGGAAACATTTTGTGAAGGTTAAATGGTGGTTACATTCTTGTTGGGTGTATTTTTGGAGGATTTTATAACCGATTCCAAACACTACTGTTTTTAACTTTTAGCACACCGCGCTTGTAGAGATTTTGTAAAGGTTAACGCATCTGTCCGAAATAATAATAAAATATTTTTATGACTATTTTGCAATTGATCTTATTACTGGTATTAAACTGGTCCGTGGGTTGGGGATGCTATTTTCCACATCTGTCCATGTTGTGTGCCCTTGGTGCCAGGCACCAGGCTAGGTTACAACAAATACCATCTTTAACATCGTTGGGTGAGTAAGTCTGGTTCTACGCCGCTTTTAGCAATATTCAAGCAATATCACGGCAGGGGACACCAGAAATGGGCTTCAAACATTGTAACCATGGGGTAATCGAACCGGGTTTTCATCGGAATGAGCGTCACTATGCTACCCCACCGCCCTTTAAGGTCTTTGAAGCATACACTCTTTTCACTACTTGGAGTCCTTGGAGTTTGGAGGTAAATATAACAACTCGTCTGAAGAAATATGCACACTATACAAACGTATTTCAAGTATATTTAGACCTAATTGTAATCCATATACATGATTGGTGGGACGACATTTTGCCAGTAATTTACGAATGGCTTTAGATAACATAGTTTTTAAATCATGTGATGCTTCCAGTTCTTTGGGCAATGTGGTTTCATGACTTAAGCTATCGCTGGTGATGATGAAGGCAGGTTCGATTCCCTACACGGATACAGCGTTAGAAGTAGAAAACAATCACTTGTGGACAAAGATGTCTTCATATCCAGGACAACGTAACAGGTCTGCGTTATCGGAACGACACCTGAGTTCATTTCCAGTACGACAATTCTCGCCCCCACACAACACAACTTTCTCAGAGCTCAGAACAAGAATATAATGTCGTTGCTAAAGTCTCCATATCTCAGACAAATTGAACGCCGGTGACAGGCGCTACACAGACATGTATTTCAAAGCCACAGAAACTGCCGCAATTACGCAAAGTTCTCTAGGAACAATGACACCTGAAAGGCTCCATTGGCAGGTGGACCCGTGAAGATCCGGGTTAGAACTGGTCTTCAGTAACCCATACTTGTCGTAAGAGGCGACTAACGGGATCGGGAGGTCAGGCTCGCTGATTTGGTTGACACATGTCATCGTATCCCAATTGTGCAGATCAATGCTCATGCTTTTGATTCCTGGTTTGTCTGGTCAAGACTCGATTATTTACATACCGCCGCCATATAGCTGGAATATTGCTGACTGCGGCGTAAAACTAAACTCACTTTTATGACATGTAATAAACCATGTTCAGCCAGTCAGTGGGTCTGGTAAACATGTATTTAATTCATGCCATGTTTATAAGTGTGTGTGCACTTTTGTACATAATAGCTGAAACATTAACACAACTAAAAACGGCATTTTGGAAAATGTGAGCTATACTAGCACTAAATAGTGAGTGAGTGAGTTTAGTTTTACGCATGAACTTCAATCTACGCAATTGGGATACGATGACATGTGTCAACCCAGCCAGTCAGCGAGCCAGTCCGTCGCCTCTGCATGAGTTACTGAAGATCAATTCTAACCAGGATCTTCACGGGTAGCAGTAAATATAACATAGTACTTTTCCTACAGGCTGTGTCACATTTTGACACACAGAACAAGAAGGATGCAGATTGAGTGAAGTTAAACTAATGTATAGAATTGTCCCACGTTAATCACAGAGGACGGCGAATCGAAAAGCACTTACTTTAAACATCATCCCAACAAATATATGCAAGTTAATGTAATTCGTGAACATCAGACATCAAACGGAGACATACAATTTGGATAATGTTTGTGTCGCTTTTCTTGTTGCTCATGAAGCTGAACCGTAATGAATAGGATCGCCACAATAGATCCGGCTAGAAGTGCAGTCTATGTATGGTTTCCTATGAATCTGTAATGTTCAGCAGTTAACAAAGTCGAGGTCAGCCAGCCTCACGAGTGGGACACGCAACAAACTTAGTCCTTGGCTCACAGCAAGAAAAGTGCCTATCTTGCAGTTAAAGAGCCAGCCCAGTATCAGTACGACATCTTCCACCCTCCAGCTTTGGAACCAGCCACAGTGTGACCTTGTTACTGTCAACAAACAATGTTTACCCCACTGCTACACTCACACAGTCCACGTCTAGTGAGTGAGTTTTGTTTTACGCCATACTCAGCAACATTCCAGCTGTATGGCGGCGGTTTGTACATAATCGAGTCTGGACCAGACAATCAAGTCATCAACAGCATGAGCATCGATCTGCGCAATTGGGATGCGATGACATGTGCCAACCAAGTCAGTGAGCCTGACCACCCGATCCCGTTAGTCCCTCTTACGACAAGCATGGGTTACTGAAGATGAATATTCTAGCCCGGATCTTCACGGGTATCAGTGCAATCAGAACCTTATAACAGTCCCCCATATACAAGTATAACCTTTATATCCGTCTTTACAAAACTCCTTATATAAGCAATACGGTTCATGGCCAGTTAGGTTGCAAACATGGGATGTGAATGGATATGAGGACGTAGGTTACAAGTATCCAGATTGAGATTACCAGTATCAATTGCATGTATATGGTGCAAATTGTAAATGTAAGTACATAAACAAACGGAAGTCCAGGGTTCAAAGCACGACCTTGAACACGGGCATTGGACAGTTTTTGATATACCAGGTGTAACTGAAATATAACTAACTTACGGTCAAGAGAGCAGATATATACTGGTGCTCGAAAGAAACTGTACACCACAAAATATGACATTAAAATTCACAAACACAAAAATGAAGTGATAAAACCTTACTGAGCCATGTGACACACGTATACACCCATCATTTCCGGGAACAAACGGGGAAACAAGTTAACGAATCGACAAACGTCGCAAAAAATCAATACACGCATGCTGATGGTATAAAACACCATACGTGACACGTGAGCGTCACAGTAGTAAACCGAACACAAAAATATTCCACGTTTGAGGCAAATCGAAAGAAAAAGAGCTGTCGGAAGGAACTAACCAAACCGACATTGCCAGAACCGTCGACTGCATCCGAGCAACTGTCATCAGACTGATGCAACGACAAAGACCAACAAGCAATACGTCAGACAGGCCTAGGAGTGGTCAACCACGTGTGACAAAGCCACATCCGAACAATTCATCTGAGAAATCGTTTTGTAACAGCGACGTCAACGGCAGCGACGGCACTAGGACACCGTATCGGTCGACATGCTATGCACTGGAGACTAAGAGAACATGGTATTCAAGCACGTCGACCCTACCGCGCAGAGGCATCAGACTCTTTAAAGCCGACGTCGCCGAATGACAAGGACCAGGCGAGTTCGACGTTGGAATGAGGAGTATGAGATGGTGGTGACAATGTGGATGGGACTGTACAGATACAGGACCGGGGACGTCGTGCGAGTCAGCAGCTTCACGGGGACGACTCCCAACTACACCTTCTCCCAGAGGTACGGAGATACACTGTTACAGGTTTTTTAGCGGTTTTCTTGTAACAATGAATGTTTGTCCGTTTTATCTTGAACGCCGCACTGAGCAATACTTTAGCCATATGACGGTAACTACACTGATGACTGAATCTGGATCAAACAATCCAGTGATTCGTATTGTGTGCAAGAATCCATTGGTATTACGTTTTCTCTGCATTTTGTAACCATATGTTCCCTTTAAGAGCTAATTACATTTGGAGTAGTTTCCCTTTATATGCTTTTCACTTCCGCATATGAACCGCTTTGTTTGTGAGCCCTAAGCGCCATGCGGATTCTGGAACAAATGATCGATTCCCACGGTAGCTGAAAGCAATAGTCGATAAACAGATTTCATCACATGTTTCACAGCTACAAACTTTACTTGAATCAAACAAAATTATGTGTTGGCAACTGCCGTTTGCCTGTATGGTAGTTCCGCCACTGTGCACAACACGGCAAGAGAGGTATTGACAATCTCATTTCGTTTCAGGTTGACAGTACATTACAATCCCGCATTGATTCGCGGCAGCCGTATGACTGGGAGGATTGGCGCCCCTGTAGTGATCCAGGTGAAGTCCGGGACTCTTGACGTCATCAAGCAGGTCAACTGTGACCTCAACTCAAAGGCTGCAGTACAACAGTACAAGTACCCGAAGTTTACCACGAAACCCGAATTGATACGAATCCTGTTGGCAAACAAGTTGTGATTGTAAACTGCAGCAAGATTCCTTACCTGGGTATAGAAACCACGCCAGATGTCTACCAGGAAATCATTTATTTTTATTGCGAAACAGTTTGTCATTGCGAAACTGGGTTAAAGTGTCTTTTAATTGCTGTGTTTATCACTGCTCTCACTGTTGTGTTCTTCACTCAATGATTATTCAGAATTTGCCACTGCTCCCAACTGATTTTTTGATCGGCGTTCTTAAAGTCGGTGAATGAGAGTGAATAATAAAGCTTACGGCTCAAGGATAACGATTTGGTTATTGCTTAGAGCGACATGTGGGTGAAAAATCTAACACCGTTTTCAAGATAAACATAACAGTGTGTATATCGATTTTGCATTTTTACCTTTCTGGAAAATGCTTTCAGAAAATTCAAACGTTCGTCCATAGTAACATATCCAATGATGGTGGCTGAGCGGGTCGGGCGGCTGACTTTGTGTTTGTGTGCTGGTTCTGTATGGTTAAGTCAGTCAGTTGGTGATGCAAGTTTGTATTTAACTCAGTTTCAAGAAAGAAGTCTTGATATGTTTAATTAAGAATGGCATTCAGTAATCGATAATAGTTCACTGTATGACTCTCATAGAATATGCAAAATTACTACTCCAGCCGGAGAAATATCTGTCGTTTTTAACATCAAAGAAATTAAGATATCCATTTATACGTTTTAGGTTAGGCTTGATCAACATAATGGTAAACGAAGGAAGACGTTTTCATATTGAACGATGAGGGAGAAGGTTCCCTCTGTGTAATTTAGATGTGGGAAATGAAATCTATTTTTCACTTGTATGTCCTTTTCATAAAGATTTGTGTTCGAAATATATAGCTGAATATTATCTATGTAAGCCACCTTCATTAGCTTCTTTTACCAACTCACCAGCATGAAATAATAAAGCTGTCGTACTATATTAATTATTCTCTTATTAAACGTAACAATCTGATATAAAGTTTTGTAGCCCCATCGTAATATACTGCCTGTAATATGATTTGCTGTTTGAATCACTAATTATTACTTTTTGCAACGTCTGTATAATGTATATGTATAACTTCAATGTATATGGCCGGGAGGCCTTTTCTAAAAAAACATCTTTGGTATGTTTGAGTGTAATCGAAACGTTATAACAGTCCCACATATACAGGTGTAAACTGTATATCCGTCTTTGCAAAACGCCTTATATAAGCTAGACGGTTCATGGCCAGGCAGGTTGCAAACATGGTATGTGAATGGACTATTATGCTCACAACACATCATTGTGATGTGTTCAACGAACTGGCGGAATGTTTGGCACGAGACGGGCGGATTCGAGAGTTGTCATGACAGTACATGCAGTTTAAAAACAAAACTTCAGTTGAACCTTCTCTCAGTGGGAGTCCCTTTACAAAGGCCTCCCTGTTGTCGCTGTCTATTCATGGCCCTTCTTATTCAAATCTCACATAACAGTTCGCCGAGAATGAGCGTAGTGACCTCACACCGTAAGCCTGATAACGCCAGATCCATCTGCATATAGTTCTAGTAACGTATTAGAAGACGGTTATAATCTAAACAGTAGGACTCAGCTTTTTATTTGAAAACCAAAAACAGGCGACAACTTGACTCATGTATTGTCAACGTTTTGTCGCGTGACAGTGACGACAACGGTGATCCAGGCGAGTGCGACGTTCCTATCGGCTTCACCGTCACGGTTAGTGACCTATAAAAATACAAACACGCTAAGGTCGTGTCAGTTCAATAAACGTAAAAGTGAGTTATGGCTGTTCAGGAAGATTTAAGGCTGTACTTGATGCCAAACGCATCAAAATAAAGTACTTCCACACAACTACTTACATCAAATAATAACACATTCCTGACAACTAATTACAGTTAAAACACACCGGATTTCAATTGTACCAACAGCAATGATAAATTACACTGGCCGTAGGAGAAGCTATATATATAGAATTATAAGGGCCGTAGGAGAAGCTGCAGAAATTTAGCTACATCCAAAATAACAAAATATTCTGCTCCGTTTCTCAAGGACGTATTATGTGATTGTATGTAAAAATTTATTTATCATGTACTCACTTTGCAAAACATGAATTGTGTACATCCCAACTTTTAAAATGCCACTCAAACGATTTGCCTTGCGATTTTACAAAAACTCACACTTTCGAAGTCAAGGCATGCACTGTCTGAATAAAATATAAAATACAGCTTAACTTATGTAAGACACATACAAGATAAAACAAGACAGACATTGTCTGCTCACACACACAAAACTAGATTGTTTATTAGTTCACAAAGGCGAGGAGACCTCGCAATATCTTATATAAGATAACCCGTTCAACAAGTATTTAAACACGTGACTATATGTCCTGGAGTGAGATGGCCCCCATCCACATCAGTATCAGCTACCTGCAGGTACATGGCGCACACGGGGATAATGGCACTGTTATACTTAAGGTAGGAATATTTGTTTTGTTTTGTTTGTTTGTTGTTTAACGCCGCACTCAGCAATATTACAGCTTTATGGCCTCGGTCTGTAAATAATCGAATCTGGACCAGAGAGTCCAGTGATCAACATCGTGAGCATCGATCTACGCAATTCGGATACGATGACATGCTGTGTTGTGGTGTTGGTCAGTGAGTGAGTTAGTGAGTGATCTCGCACTATCCGGAAGTCACCTCGTGGATATTTGTTTCTGTTTCCAGGTTCAATCCATTCCTTGTCCTGATTGTCGGGATTCATCTTGGAACTCTTGGCCTGTATCTTACGTTCAGATCCTCGTCACAGAACGTCCTTGCCCTGCTTATAGGTGAGGGAAGATTTGTTGGGCTTCATTACATACTAGTAACATACGTCTGAACCTGAGAGTATAATGCATGTCTTTGTTGTGTGTATATGTGTTAAAGAGTTTTGGAATAACCTGAAACAGTACATATATAGAACATGTAATATCGATGTAAACTTTTCAGTTTTTTAGATACTGCTGGGTATTGATACTGGACGCAAGTTCCTCAATCACATTCTTCTAGCAGCTAAAAGATACGTTTATATCACAAGTTTAAAACTTTGAAAGTTTTGTGAAATTCTCAAGGACACTATATTAATTGAAAAAATATATCTCCAAATACACCAACAGTATGCACAAATTTAAAAGTAAATGACCGAAAGAACTGCTAAAATAAACTACTATACCTATTATGGGAAAAGGATCTACCCCTTCTGTCATGAAATATTGTGGAAATTGTGCAATATTGTAAAATGGCTGAAATGAATAAAATGTATTAAACAAAACAAAACATACGTTTAAACACTATGTGCAGAATTGCCTACCTTGGTTGACAGGATCCGCTACAAAGTACTGTGTCATTTTATGCTTTCAGAACGATTGGTGGGCATTGTCTTCATGTTGGCCTCAGTGGTAGCAGCAGACATATACAGGTCCAAGCCCGTACACTCCCATACATGGAGTTCCATGCTACAACAATACGTCAGCTTCAAGAAGCTCCTCATCCAGCATTACCACCTCAAGAGAAAGATTCTAGCTTCTATGCAGGACGTGAAAACCGCACAGGCTCACCTCCTGAGAGACATCCTTAATCAAAGAGCAGAAGTGGCCTATGGTAAAGATTTCAAATTCAGAGACATTAATACGGTAGAGGAATTTCTCGCCAGGCACCCACTAACCACGTACATACATTATGAGTCGTACGTGTCTCGTATGGTTGATGGAGAGCGTGATGTCATGTTTCCGGGAGCTCCTCAATACATCGCCCTTTCTTCGGGAACAACCTCGGGAAAATGTAAGAGACATCCAAAGGACCTGAAATTTTTCGGTAAAATGGGTTGGATGTATCTTGCCTATCTCAGAACCACACTGTTCCGCTTTCGACACATGTCAAAGCTGCAATTATGGCATGATATCCGCGTTAAACCGTCCATCACCAAGTCACATCTGGGTGTTCCTATGGGAGGCGGAAGTGGGTCAGCCTATTTTATATGTCCCTTCTCTGCGTCACCACCGGAAGTGTATACCATGGAAAAGTCGCAGACGGTATTGTACCTTCATTCCCTATTTGGGCTCAAAGAAAAATACGTGACTCTCTTTAGTTCAATGTCAACCCCGCTAGCACTCGACTTCTTTAAAACCATTCAGAAGTACTGGAAACAGTTGTGTGAGGATATCGAATCCGGGACAATAAACCAAACCGTTGACCTTGTACCTGGCATGAGGCAAAAACTAGAGACGTCCTTGACTCCAGATCCAGAAAGAGCCGATGAACTTCGGAAGATATTTCGTAAAGGAACTTCTCACTTCGGTCCACTTGTGTGGCCGAACTTCGCAGCCCTCCACGCTCCTGGAACTGGTGCCTTTTCGTTTGCTGTGAGTATATAATTAAGACACCTGGTAATGGACCTGTGGACATTTGATGGTTTTCAAATTCAGACCAAACCATCTGTGTGTGTGTGTGCGTGTGTGTGTGTGTGCGTGTGTCTGAGAGAGAAATATGTGTGTGTGTGTGTGTGTGTGTGTGTGTGTGTGTGTGTGTGTGTGTGTGTGTGTGTGTGTGTGTGTGTGTGTGTGTGTGTGTGTGTGTGTGTGTGTGTACAGAGGGGCGGACAAACGGATGGATAACGCTTTGGTTTAGAACGTATGCATTTGCATATGTCTGCACCAAATGTTGATCGGTTGGTCAATGACAGGGTCAGACTCGGTGAGATTCCTTACTCCACGAGGGCGGTGGGGTAGCCTAGTGTTAAAACGTTAGGTCGTCACGCCGAAGACCCGGGTTCGATTTCCCACATGGGTAAAATGTGTGAAGCCGAGTCCTGGTGTCCCTTGCCATGATACTGCTGGAAGAGCGCTAAAATCGGCGTTAAACCACACTCACTCATTCACTTTTAGGTCCTCTAGGCTTAAGATACCGCTTGATGTCTTCCTTGTTATAATCACTAAGCCCTGGAAAGACGTGTACTAGTTATGGTTGGTGTCTATATTTGCTTTCGATTCTATCATTAGACCGAGCTTCTGAAGAAGAACTTTCTGGGAGGGGTGCCACTATCATCCGGCGTCCATATCTCGTCTGAGAGTCTGTACGGTCTGAACCTGCACGTGGAGGATCAGACAAAGACGGAGTACACAATCCTGCCGTGTCTGAATTTCTATGAGTTCATACCTAAAGACTGTATAGACAAGGAGGATCCTACGACTGTTCAGGCTCACGAGGTAAGCTCATGTTTGTGTGTTTTTCTGAATGTACATTTGAAAGTTAGTGATGGACATTTTGTGTTGTCTATCGCCACAGGCAACAATATTTCAGTAGTATACATAATAGGGGTTTTGCCTCAAACTCCTCTTAGAGGTTTATTTCGGGTTAATTAAGCTCAATGACCCATTACAAGCCGAAACCTTCGACAGGAAATGCACGACCGAATACTTTGGCATACACATGATGTCTATCAGAAATGGATTCGTAAACAACACGTGTTCAGTATGCGGTATTGGAGTGGAATGCCATTATGGTTTGTGCAAAGCCCACAGAGCAGACGTCGTTGGAAACCAACTTATTTATGACAAGAAAAAAGATTATCTCAACGAATGTAATCGACTACTCAGAATAAAAAAATCATTTTCCCTATTAAAGAATAAATATGAATAAAACAATATAAGGATAAGATTTACTACAGCCCACGAGATTACTGGAAAGGAAGCGAGCGCTGTCCCCAAGCTTGCCGAAGTCGCAAAAGTCTCCGAAGAGTACCGCTATGGTTTGGTTGGAGAAACAAGTAGTTTGGCAAATTTACTTGGCGCTGGAATGTATACTACTCACACTTTGCTAAGGATCACAAAAATCCACAACTTGAAATTTGTATCCATTTAAAACTGGATAAATTATAATATGGTAACCCCTCTTTAGGCAAACATACACTTTAATCTAACCTTATGCACCTGATACATGAGTAACCATAAAAATGGTTTTCATGCCACCAGTCAGCCATTTTGCAAATCATGGAACGAATTTCATTGACAAGTACACAACACCTGTCAATAGCAGATATGGGATCCACAAAATGAAATTACATACTGAGACCTAGGATCCATGCTTACAATAAGCTTAGATATTTAAACCAAATTTGACCCTACTTCATAGTTTTCTCTTGAATCCATGATTCGATCCTTAGCAAAGTGTGAATAGTATATTTACAAACGAAGCCCTTTAATGTGGCCTGCCGAATTACAAGGACGTGAATGTTTTAGCTCGATGTCACAACTGCTGTCCTAACACAAAGCCGAGGTTAGGCGCAGAATGGGGGGAGCGCATTGCAGCCAAGCCATCGTCCAGAGATTCAACCGAACGTTAGCCGAACACCTGTTCAGACACCATTATGCCAAGAAATGGCGACGCCCGAAAATCGATCGATGGAATGGGTCGCGTGATTACCTTAAGTGGTAAGGTCGAGCAACAACGAAGTGACGCGTCTCATCTACAAAAAACCCGTTGAGGACATTAGAATGAACTCGTAGACGACCGAATCGGCTACACCACCAAATAAACAAACAGAGAAGAAACTGTCAGGTCGGGTGAGCGTGAGGTATTTATACCATCCCGGTGAACTCGAGGGAGGGGATCGACGTCGTGCCACGGACCCTGTGTGGTCCATGAAAACGTACCAAATCCATTGGGTAGATATCAAAGAGTGAGTGAGTGAGTTGAGTTTTACGCCGCACTCAGCAATATTCCAGCTATATGGCGGCGGTCTGTAAATAATCGAATCTGGACCAGACAATCCAGTGATCAACAGCATGAGCATCGATCTGCGTAATTGGGAACCGATGACATGTGTCAACCAAGTCAGCGAGCCTGACCACCCGATCCCGTTAGTCGCCTTTTACGACAAGCAGTCGCCTTTTATGACAAGCATGGGTTGCTGAAGACCTATTCTACCCCGGATCTTCATGGGTCAGATATCAAAGAAGACAAACCCCTTGTGTATTACCTCAAGGATGGACCCAGCACAGGATTCGTGCGAGAGGAATTGCTTGTTGTACTTCGAGACACGGTATTACCTCCCTATTAAGATTTGAACCCTTTACAGTATATAGGCTAGGCAGTAAGCTGATGAAGCTAGTGAGTTAGACAAAGGAAAGGCATGGAAGCCAATGAAGTAGAAGTAATGAGATGTTTATACAGTAGAGTTTAACTCACTGGCTTCATCAGCTTACTGCCCAGCCCATCATGTAATAATGTTGTTTTCTTTGTTACATTGTTACATTCGGTATATATACTCCCCTCTTCATGTTCCATTTGTGCTTGACAACGGTACGAGAATCTGTATCGAAACGTCGCACTCACGAATAAAAAAGTTGTTGTCCATAAAGTTTGTTCTATATTGTACTTCCCAACTTCTAAAATACCACTCAAAGAAGAGGTTGTTCAAGCGCGTTGGAGTGGACGTCGATGGCCTTAATATTTATTCAGTCCTACGTCGAGTGATTAATCGAGGCCAATTCACCACCCTGTATGACCCTGTTTGACAATTCACCACCCTGTGTGACAGTTTAGGTTTTTTATGGGAACCAAACGGTTACAACTTCTCATGGATGCATATACGTTATAAACGTGTCACCCATGGATACTAAACGATGGATGGGATGTCTCACGACATAAGCTTATGTATTAAGTCAAAAAAAACTCTGTTCAAGAGCGATGCTCCATGGATAAAAGACAACACTTTTTCGAAATAAACCTCTCAGGGGAATTTGCGGCAAAACCCCAATTGTGTATACTACTATTTCAGACCTTTTCTGTTTATAATGGACCTGACAAACCACGATGAGCATGTCCTTTATGAAGAGACTTTACACCCTGGTAAATAATACAGTAGACTACAGTTATAACCAACGGGAACACCAATCTTAGTTCGTTATAACCCTTAGGATTGCTGGGGTACCTAAGAGGTAAAGCGTTCGCTCGTCACGCGGAAAACACTACATGGGGGCAATGCGTGAAGACAAATTCTGGTGGGCTCTGATCCCAATTGCATAGATCGATGCTCATGATGTTGATCACTGATTACTTACAGAATATTTCCAGAAATATAGCTGGAATATTACTGATGTGGCGATAAACAGCACACAAACCAAACCACACCAATCATGACCAACACATTTTGACCAACAAATATAGTAGTTAATGCGCCTGGTCGTCATACCAAACCAAATTTATCCCATGTAATCAAACATACCCTCATCTGTACAGTTACCCTCTGTTATACCCCATGCCCATCTGACCATTCACCCTCTGTAATATCCATTGCACATATGTACATTTAACTCTCTGTTATACCTCACGCTCATCTTTACATTTACTCTCTGTTATATCCCATGCTCATCTGTACATTTACTCTCTGTTATACCTCATGCTCATCTTTACATTTACTCTCTGTTATATCCCAAGCTCATCTGTACATTTACTCTCTGTTATACCTCATGCTCATCTTTACATTTACTCTCTGTTATATCCCATGCTCATCTGTACATTTACTCTCTGTTATATCCCATGCTCATCTTTACATTTACTCTCTGTTATATACCAAGCTCATCTGTACATTTACTCTCTGTTATACCTCATGCTCATCTGTACATTTACTCTCTGTTATATCCCATGCTAATCTGTACCCTTGTAGGAAATCGAACCCGGGGCTTCGGCATGTCAATCAAAGGCTTTAACCACTAGGCTACCCCACCGCCCCAGACACAAAAAAGATGAATCTGCTAAACGTGTTGCCATTACTTCTTCAGATCGTCTGACTTTCTCAATAAGTACCCTGAGTTCTTGTTCACGAAGGCCGTTCACGACGCTGCTAAAACGTGGAGGTCAGGAACATCGTTATACAGCTACATGGCATGTTTGAACCAGCACCTCGATGACGTAACAGGTACCAAGTTTCATAACAGTTCCATATGGTATATCATGTAAGATGTAATAGCGGTGGTTAAGCATTGACAAGTCCAGTCTTCAGACAGTCAGTATCTAAACGCATTACCCCCCTTACAGCCCATACCAGGATTCGGTAGAGGGCGCGAGAGTCGATGTAAAGCAACGGAGCATTAATTCATTGGAAATTTTAATTTGGAATTGAAAATCTAAATACATATGTTTATCATTTTTTATTTATTTATCTATATCTTATTTTATTTATTTATTTATGTTTTACTAATTAATGATAAAAATGCAGCAGAGAGGGTTCGGGTGATCCTGGCACAGTCAGGCTGGTAAGGCTCATCATCAGCTCAGGGCCCTCGCCCCCTCTACACGCAGCCCAGACAATGAATGGGACTTCTCCCAGGAAACACTGCCTAGTCGAACCCAACAAGAGCTT